CAGAGTCCGAACAGCCTCGGAGCTCATCAGCGCTGGACATGTCAGAGCTCCCCATTCTGGTTTGAACGGGTCATCAAGAGCTGAGAGGAGAGGAATTACCTGCCACTGAAACGTTTTTTTCATGCAGCAAATGCTAGGATTATCATGCACTCAGCAGTGAAGTGGCACCTGCATTACAGCCTGTCAAGTGTTTCTGAGCCTGACGCATCTTTAGATGGAATTTAACCGATTGTTTGCCCCTTCAGTCTTTGCATTCTTGCACAGAATATAATACATCTTTCAGAAGCAGCAGCAGATTTTTTGCACACAAGTGTGAAACCTCTTTCAGACATGCACTCCGTTCTATTAACCTGAACATGTCGGCTTCATGTCTGAATGAGCAGACTGGCGACTTTTTCATTAAAGTCGTGACTGCAGTCTTACGGGGCGTCGGACCTCGTAACATTTCTGCATCTTTTCAACATGTCACACAAGTCTGAACTGCAGGAATAATAACAGACACACACACACAGGTGGCATACTTCTAGTTGTGTGAAACTATTTGGGGAAGACCTTTCCGGCATTGTCAAAAAACCTCTCAGAGAGCAAAAGACACAGTTTGTGGCTGTAGTCACCGAACATCTTTTACGTTCAGTTACATATATCCAAATAGGTATAGGGGGGAAACAAATGCTCCGGCTTCTTTCTGTTTCTTTAAACCAATTACAATCAACTTGGGTGGCGAGAAGCAAAAGATGCACCTTCGCGATTCAATCAAAATAGTGATGAGTGGCACTTTTTGGTGGAACATTTGCATGCGGGGAGACGAACACTGTCATTCAAATGGGTAACGGCCTCACTGCATGATCCACATGTTTTCAGTGTGGTAGGTTGTTGCTGCTGTTACCTGACACAAAGGGGATTTTGGAAACAGCAACATATAGATAGAAGAAGAAGAAGAGGAGAAAGGTAAACACAACCTTCTAGTTGTGTGAAGTGACTTTTTTCTACATTTCAGCACCAAAAACATCACAGAGAGCAAAAGGCGCAGTTTGTGGCAAAATGGCATAACATCATTTCACCTACACATATTTGTATTACTCTAGTGGGAAAACACTGTGCTTTGTTTTTATTTGTTTAAACCAATAACAGTCTTATAGGGCCAAGGATGCAGTGACAAGTTGAATTGTTTTGGTGGTCCATTCGCATGCAGGGAGACAAATGGATAATCTACAAGTAGCAGAGCTGCACGATCCAAATCCTCGGCAACAAAACCTTTTCAGTGTTTTCCTGACTGCTCCGAAACACTTAGCACAAAAAATGTTGTTGTTGTGAAAATGCTATCTGCAGATAGATAGGAAGTGGAGTCTGGTAACAGACTGTTGAATCCAGCAACGTCTGAAAAGTCATTTTTGAAACAACAGTCAGTGATCTCAGGTGACCTTAAACTTTGCTGGCAGATTTGATTTGCTTTAGCAGGCTAAATAAGCAATAGCAGCTTACCTGTGTTAGCTCATGTTCTTTAACATCCGTCTTTTGCAGGCGACTTTGAAGTGTTTAAACTTCTTACTTTAAAAAGCTGCACTTATAATGTTTGTTAGAAGACTGAAGCTGAAGTTAAAAAATAAAAAAAATCCTCCTTAATAACATTCTACTTTAATTCTCTTGTTCACTCTCGCACATATGTTTCACTCTCACTCGTACATCACACTGCAAATGTCATCAACAGCACAAAGCGTCACTATGGCAACAAATAGGGGCCGATCAATGGTTTTTTTGGATGATGCAGACTATTAGTAATCAAGGAATAAGTGATATTTGGAGCTGATGTGCATTAATGATACACATACCAACACCACACTTAATGGAAATGTCTTTGACTACACACAGAGAGGAATCAGAGCCAGAGTAGCACTTTCAGAAATCGTGGAACAAAATCAGGGACACTGATAATCAGAAAAATGCTGAATATCAGATCCGTTGATTGGCCGGGTCAGTAATCGCCCCTGGCAACAATAACTAACCTTTCTGCTTTAAAGTCTCGTTTCCAACAACAAGACGAGGTGAAAATAACAGGTCGGCAGCGGAGCTCGTCATCGACTGTGTTTGCTTCTAAACCACGTCCTGAATTCAACAGATGCTCCAGCAGCTCAGACAACAACATCTCTGCATGACAACAACTTCCTCCAACTTGACCGAGACCTTCAGTCAGAAATGTTCTCCACACAATCAGAGCTTTTCCCTCTATTAGAACGGCTAAAACGTATAAGATGCACAGTCAATGTTGGATCTCGGACAGGATGCTCCAGTATCACCATACCACATAGCCTGTCAGAAAAAGCTTCAGTATGTCCCAAAACATGCTATCAAATGTAGTATACAAAAAATACGAGTATGTCCTTGAACATCTGGTTTCATTGTGCAGTATGCAAGCCAGCATGCTTTTCTGATGGACTGTTCTGAGCAGAAGATAAGTCACATAAGTCACTAAATGAACAGGCTTGTAACACATGATTTGACGCTGCAGACTGTGACAAATATATGAGCAAGACGGTTGAAGCTAAAGGTGCAATATTGTGATGAAACAGTATGTTTTAATTGTGTGCATTCTGCATGAAACAGTGTGTATTTCTTAGGGGCAGCTGCAGTTCCTACTAAAAGTAAAAAGAAGTGGTTTGTGATTTGGAATGCAGGCAGCAGTGAAGTTAAAACAGCAGGCCGGCACTCCAAAAGGAAATTTCATTTTTCCAGTTGACAGTGTTTTGGTGTTTAGCTGTTTGACAATCCTAGCACTTGGACGGAATTAAAATCCCTCACAGTCGAACAGTCGGTACGAGAAATGTGCAACAGTTTTAGTGGAGCGTGATGAATAAATTGAGCAAGATTTGGAACCAGTTGTGGGTCTGTGTTTCTGGATCGCTGTGAGATTTCACTCTGATTTTATCCTCGAAATAGGACATTTACAGCAGGAATTACAATTTCTCATTATTCTTTTGGTTTTAGTGGCTCAACAGTCTGGATTCAGTGCTCAGTGCACGCAGTGTGTAAATCTCACATTATAATTGCGTGTGCATAGCTGTGTAGCTCCACACAGGCATACATTTCAAGGCCATTTGGAGTGCATGCGTGGACCCTTTGCACCGAACACACATGAATAAAAAACAGGAATAAAACTGTATGAATGTCCACTTCCTGTGTCCAGCATCAAGGCTGAGAGACAGATCTGCTTCTTATTCTCCCAAACACAGATTTATATATGTCAAAAAGGAATTAAATTAATAGGCTAAGACATGCAAAACAATGTAGATAATATATCTGCTATTAGTTAGAGACACCCCAGTTAGAGTCATCTCAGACTTCCTTCATGTTCACTTGCTATCTCAATAAATCCATTCACACAACACTAATTTCATCAGTACAGCAGCACACCAGGTATTCACTCTGACTGATGTCTTTACTTGAAGCCTTTGTCTTATAGGCAGGAAGAAATGTCAAACGTAACCGAGAAGGCAGTTTGGTTGCACAAGAGTGTGATATTTGATAAATGGTGCTGCTAGTCTCACACTACCCATTAGGAACAATTTGCCTTCTTCAAGTCAGTATT